TTTTGTTGTTACAATATACACGAATCATTTTAGGGCAAACTGTCGTATGGTCGACGAAATCGTGGTTTGCAGTCACATATGACATGCCTATTCAAACCATGGTCATGTACTACGACCGTCCAAACGCCTTAGATACTTCCGTGACACACGACGGGCTTCCTGGGCCTTTTCTGTCATCGGGGAACATACGGCTTGGTGAGTTTGATTGTATTGTATTGTATTGTATTGTATTGTATTGTGTTGTGTTGTATTTGTTGTATTGTGTGGCGTTGCGTAGCGTTGCATTGTCTTGCGTTACGTTGCATTGTACTGTATTGGATTGGATTAGACTGGATTATATTGTATTGTGTTGCGTATGTGGTAGAATTCAAGACCACGAGTCATATTTCCTCTCACTGAACCCTATTTCAAGTAGTACATTCTTAGCTGTGCTTTAATGATTTAGAATTGTATTTTATTAATCTTTATTAGGAATCATTTAATTGTAAACTGTAACTGAACAATTCAAAGTAGATCCGTAAACGTACCATTTATTGTATTGCTTTACACTGTGTTGTAAAGCACTTTAAAGGAGAAGAAAAGCAGACATACAGGTATTGAAAAATTGCTCGTTGCCTTGTTTCAGCGATTCTTTTTTTTCCCTTTTTTCTCTACTTTAATGATTTAAATGATTCTGACTCGGTTTGCGTTTGCGTTCTATTCATTACCCAGGCAGGCAGTATACTGGAAGTTGTGAGTCCATTCCACAAGGCATGTTGGGTTCTATCAGCTGTCTTCACATATTCGACCAAGTTCTCACGACAGCTGACCTAAATACCTATCGTACCAACTGTTTGAACCAGGACTATTCTGGTAAGTTTTTTTTTTACTTTACCAAGCAAACACAGAACGTTTTATAAAGTTACCATACGATTATCATAACGTTTTTATTTATTTATTATTATTTTTTGTTGTTGTTTGTTTGTTTGGTTATATAAACGTTGATACCGTTATAATAACTCACTGTGTGTGCTGGGTATGTAAATGCAAAGCTTTTTTATCGCCACGGCCACATTTTGGTACCTATTGAAAAATTACCCACGTCATTGTACCTTTTTTCTTGTTATTGTACACACAATGGACAATAAAAGTGTCACCCCTACTGAACCAATACTTTGGGGGAGATAAATGACTGTGGAATGATATGCTCCTGGTATCATTTTATTAACATCAAATTTCACAAAAGAAACGGTTCTGACTGAACAATTCAACTGTATCGATATTCTGACATTGCTTATATTCCACCTCTTCAGGTTAATAACTTTGATTACTCTGATTCAGGGGATGACACTCCTTTTGTCCAGTGTGTGTAATGTATATTTGAAAAGATACATTTGAACAGATCCAAAATCTTTATTATTAATGTATTTATTCATTTATTTATTCATTCACTTGTTAGTTTGATTTTTGGTTTATCTATTTACTTAATTACTTATTTATATATTTATTTATTTATTGACATGCCGCCTAAAGTCGTTATAACAAGACAAGGTTTTTATAACGAGTTCCTATTTTAACCCTCATCCACAAGGAAATGGAACCCTACGTAAACCCTGAAACCGGGCCTCAGAGGCCACCATGTAAATCTGACTCCCCCCAAAAAAACATTCAAAAATCTAATTTAATTTGAGTAAATGACTATGATATTGTAGTATGCATAATGGAGGACACATTGGCACTTTTTGTTAGTTTGCAGGTGAAAATTTTCATGAAAAAATAAAAAAATTAAAGATTTATATTTTACCACCCAAGGACATTTGATGACCATTTCAACATCTTTTCTTTGAGGATACTTTATGAGGAATATATTGAAAGTACTTGAAAGTTTAATGGTTAAAAAATTGGGTGAAAATAATAATAAAAAAAAACACATTAAAAAATAAGAAAAATTAAAGATTTATATTCTAACACCCAATGACCCCCCTATGAAAAAGCTATTTATTTGATATTTGATGATCATTCTGACATCTTTTCTTTGAGGATACTTTATGAGGAATATATTGAAAGTACTTGAAAGTTTAATGGTTAAAAAATTGGGTGAAAATAATAATAAAAAAAAACACATTAAAAAATAAGAAAAATTAAAGATTTATATTCTAACACCCAATGACCCCCCTATGAAAAAGCTATTTATTTGATATTTGATGATCATTCTGACATCTTTTCTTTGAGGATACTTTATGAGGAATATATTGAAAGTACTTGAAAGTTTGATGGTTAAAAAAATGGGTGAAAATAATAATAATAAATAAAACACATTAAAAATAAGAAAAATTAAAGATTTATATTCTAACACCCAATGACCCCCCTATGAAAAAGCTATTTATTTGACATTTGATGACCATTTCAACATCTTTTCTTTGAGGATACTTTATGAGGAATATATTGAAAGTACTTGAAAGTTTAATGGTTAAAAAATTGGGTGAAAATAATAATAATAAAAAAAAAACACATTAAAAAATAAGAAAAATTAAAGATTTATATTCTAACACCCAATGACCCCCCTATGAAAAAGCTATTTATTTGATATTTGATGATCATTCTGACATCTTTTCTTTGAGGATACTTTATGAGGAATATATTGAAAGTACTTGAAAGTTTGATGGTTAAAAAATTGGGTGAAAAAAATAATAAAAAAAACACATGAAAAATAAGAAAAATTAAAGATTTGTATTCTAACACCCAATGACTCCCCTATGAAAAGGCTATCTATTTGATATTTGATGATCATTCTGACATCTTTTCTTTAAGGATACTTAATGAAGAATATATTGGAAATATTTGAAAGTTTGAATGGTAAAATACTGGGTATGCTATATAAGAAGAATTCAGTAAAAAGGCGATGGGGCCAATTTCTTGAGTTAAAAATGTAGCATTTTGACATGGAAGTGCAAAACCTACAGGTAGTAAGATGAATACTTGTTTTAAAAATATTCACCAAAATTTTCACCACCAAACTTTCAAATAATAACAAAATGTACATCTCTGTGCAAACTATGTAGAAAACAATGGTATGGTGACTGAATATAAAATAGGTCCTTTTCTTTATGGGAATCCAAATCTCATGGGTTTAAAAATGAAGATTTTCATGATTTATTTTTCATTCTTTCACTCACTATTTTATCATCAAACTTTTAAATATTTCCAATATATTTTTCATAAAGTATCCTAATAGAAAAGATGTCAGAATGATCATCAAATATCAAATAAATAGCTTTTTCATAGGGGAGTTATTGGGTGATAAAATGCACATTTTTAATTTTCTATTTTTCATGTTTTTTTTTAGTTTTTTCACCCAATAGTTTACCATCAAACTTTCAAATATTTCCAATATAATCTTCATAAAGTAAATTTAAAGGAAAGATGTAGAAATGATCATCCAATATCAAATAAATAGCTTTTTCAAAGGGGAGACAATGGGCGGTTAAGTGCACATTTTTAATTTTCATATTTTTTTCATGAAAATATTCACCTGCAAACTTAAAAAAAAAGTGCCAAAGTATCCTCCATTTTACATACTACAATATCACAGTCATATACTCAAATAAAATAAGATTTATGAACATTTGTGGTGGGGGAGTCAAATTTTCATGGGGAGTCAGATTTTCATTATGAAAATCTGACTGGGGGAGTCAGATTTTCATGTTACACCAGTCCCTTGCTCCCTTTACCTCCACCTGGGTGCATGAGTATACACTGTGTATGGAAAATGCAGAAAAACGTTTTTTTTTTTTTTTTTTCTCAAAATGGAAAGTTTCGCAAAGGTAGCGCAGTCTATCAGGTATGTAATAATGATAGATTTAAACTGATATCTGCATATCAGGTGACCAAGGTGACCGAATACTCATAAATAATAATTTCTCCAGGTCTTGAATCTTTCACAGGCAGATTTCATTGACCATACTGATAGTCATAGCACACATGATATTGCTTGTGTAAAACATTTTATAGCAAAGCTATTTGAGGTAACATGGACTTATTTATCCCATGTGGAAGTAAAATTATCAAGCGACCGGGCCTCAGAGGCCCGGTTTCCAGGAAATGGGACTAACTTTTGGAAAAGTTAATTTCTACATATGTTGTAAATTATTTCAAAACTAATTATTTATCCATTGATGGGGTATAAGTTGCTTGAGGATTACATGAAAGGAACAGGCTCAAAACCTCATGCGAACGAAGAGAGAGCAAAAGATACATGGGTCCGGGCCTGCGAGGCCCCTGAAAGGTGATTGAGGGTTAAAAGTACATAAGAATCCTGCCAAAAATCATAGTGTATGAGCGTTTCCATAACATCCCTTCCTTTCGTGGCGCCTTTTGCTCTTCGTAGTCACTTTATGTCCCAGTATTTTTCTCTGTTATACCTGTAACAAAAATACTGCATATCGTGTGAATAATTTCGATTTTTTCTGAAGTTAAATGTCAAAATGCAGTGAAATACTTAGAAAGTGGCTCAAAACTTCATATTATTGACAACATCTTTTGGAAGACAAAATACACAATACAGAACCTTTATTATTGTACCAGGAAATGGGATCAGTAAATGAGTTAGTAATTCACGTCTTGTTGCCACTCAGGCAATAGAAATTGTCACTTTTGTAAGGAATTATGTCGAGCATATAATCCTGTTGGCTTATGTCATTATTGCTTTTTTGACCAGCCTTACCTCCGCCGATCACATCAACAACTTCAACAACACCAACAACAACAACCGAGGCAACAACAACATCAACAACAACCGAGGCAACAACAACATCAACAACAACAACGACGGAAGCAACGACAACAACAACAACGACGGAGGCAACGACAACAACAACAACCGAGGCAACAACAACATCAACAACAACTGAGGCAACAACAACATCAACAACAACCGAGGCAACAACAACATCAACAACAACAGAAGCAACAACAACATCACCAACAACAACGACGGAAGCAACGACAACAACAACAACGGAGGCAACGACAACAACAACAACCGCGATGACGACAACCCAACCTGTTCAAACAACCACTGCGTTAACAACAACAGCTGGGGTTACGGCAGTGGGCACCACTACAAGTGCTGGTGGGTATTAGTAGGCAGCGTGCAATGACAAAGATCACAGCCATGTTTATCTTAAGTATGGCATTTACTGTTTTTGGAGACTGCTTTGAATAGTTTAAGTTTGGGTTTCCTCAGTGTCTCACAAAAAAATAAAATAAAATAAAATAAAAACTTATCTCGGCATATAAAGTTTAGTACATAATTACATTCCCTTTGTTTATTTTAATTATCGATGCTGCACGCTTTATGTAATGTCCAGTAAAACATTTTTTTTCTAAATAACAGGATCTGCAGCTGCAACGACCTCGGAAGTAACAACAACAAATCAACCTGTTACGTCAGCAGCAGTGACAACGGGCGTGGCTGCTACAACAGCTAGTGGTAAGTATTTAGTAAATATTTGTACTTAAATAGCGAAAATACCACCCACTTGAAAAAATATCAATCAGTCATTTTATGGACTGTTTTTATCAAAGACTCACCAAAAGTAAGCTTTGTAGAGCGCATCTTGCAGGCAAACGCATTTTGCAAACGCAGCACATCTTGCAACCAAATAAACATGCGAATTACGCATTTTGCAACCTCGGAAAATTTCTACACACCATTTGAACTACAGTATGCAACTGTAGGGCTAAGATAAATGCACATTACGTTAACACCACCCACAGCTTGGGTTTCACTTAACATTATTACACCTAAAAACAGTGGCTAACCCTACCCTGTTAAACATTAGGCAGCTGTAACTGGAAAGGCCGATTCAGTGCATTTTTTTATTGTTTTATTTCTCTAGGTTCTCATTCTTGCAATCTCCTTCAATACACAAAGAATAAAGGTACATATTATTATTATTATTATTATTATTATTATGTGGGACATTATTTTGTGCGATGGTACACATTTAGGACACAATGATAGTCAAAGACACCTTCCACGCACCAGCCACACACTAAGGAAAATACTTGTAAATATGATATAAAATAAATGTACATTTGATTAATAACACAGAGTCATAATAGGCTATGACAAAGAAATATAAAAAGAGGGAAGAGAGGCAAGTCAAGCAATGCTGAGTATTGGTTTGTATGATATGTCATGAGTACATCTCGCCAGGCATGACATATCATACGAACAAAACAATCGTCAATACAAACAAAACAATCGTCGTCAGCATCATCATACCGGTATTGAGACCTGGGGCGTCCGTTAAGTTGGCGCCATGAATCAAAACACCTCACCCAATAACAAGTGACATCAGTGAGAGCGATAAGCTTGCGTTTTGCACCCACCTCTTTGGGTTAACAGAAGCGTAAAATACTGCATTAAAGATCCAATATTTTGAGTAATTAAACACTCCTTTCTGATATAAATAGCCGAAGGACTTCATCACCCTATGCTTGATAACAATGAAATCGTCAATCTTAAGAACTATATTTGTGGTATACGGTTCCAGGGGGCAACAGATGCTTGATGGATTACTTTACGTTACACCCTCCAACTTGACTTAATTCCCATTGATTGCATTTATAATTAATGTAGATCAATATAATGTCACGCCCGTGTTTCATGAATCACGTACTGGATATCGTTTTATTGAGTCCAGGAACCAGAAAATACACAACATACACACACCATTATTTGTTTATCCAACTAGCTTGTCCCGCTTATGTACTTACCTGTAGGTCAAGCAAGGTCATGACTGTCTGCTGCAGAGTATTCAACTTTTACCTTAAAAGGAGTCAAGCATTGTAGGATTTAATACGTTGAAATATGACATTGTATTATAAGCACTATTATTGATTATTGGTACTTAGCTCTTATTACGTCTTCAACATTGATTAATATTACGTCGTTGAGCTATTTAAAGTTGCGAATAAACATTATTCCATTACAACCACCATCGTCGTTATCATCCTTATGATTATTTTTGTTGTTGTTGTCGTTGAATTTTGGATCGATCCATCCTCGGTGAGGTCATAGACGTAATACGGAGCAGTACCCTCCACCAGATTTTTCTCGATGTGTATTTTATCACATTTTCGTTTACTTCAGCAATTGTAAATTTGAGTGCGTCGCGCAGCTGCTTTTAATCTATGCCGCAATGAGTTCTTCATTTCTTTTTCTTTTAATTCATTTACACAGGCCCCACATCTGACAGTACTGTGTGTCCGGCGGGCTGGTCTTACGGCTTCCATGGCAGTTGCTACAAGTTTATATTCGGTGAGTCCCACACGTGGGATTATTGGCGACAGTGTGTTGACAGCGGGGGGTATCTGAATGTCATCAACGCACAAGAAGAAAAGGATCACGTCAACGATATTATTACGGTGAGTTTGAAGATACATGTATATGAATTAGATTATTAAAATAAACTAAGTGTAAAAATACTCGCCATTGTTAAAATGTTGTATAGTGCTTGGTAACGGGATTTAGTCATGTGAATACGAGTTGATAAGTGTATAAAAATAAATAAGTCATGGAAAATTTAAGTTGGTTGAGTTTTAAAATGGATTACAAATATTAATGTAATAAAATATTACCAAAATAAAATGATAATGCTGTTTTAGGGTCCCTTTTCTATTTATTTAATTTTTACTTTGACTTAACAGAGACATACCGGGGCAGCACGTTTGTTAATCATCGATCTCTTAATTTTTTAGTTAAGAAAAATTTAAACAGTAAACCTTTTTATAAAATTCTACTATATACTTATAGTTCAACAGTACAGCTTCCTCAGCAAACGTATTGTGTGGGCTGTTTGATCCGTCTTACAGCCTCGACTTCACTGCTGCAGATGGTTCCTTTCTTAAGTACACCAACTGGGATAGCGGAAATCCGAAAACGGCGCTGAAAGTGAAAGTAGTTTATAAGAGGCTTGCTAACTGGACGCAAGTTAATACACAACTGACTTCCAATGCCGGGTCAGCTCTTTGTGAGACGAGTTACGGTAAGGATTAATTTTAAATAAGTAAATAAGTTTCTCGCTAAATTGCTTTCAGCTTAAGCAGCCCTGATGACTAGAACGCCTACTGAAGTTGTTATCTAAGGTGCAATTAATTATTATTTAACAGCTTCAGTAGGCATGCCAGACAACTAAGCTGCCAAAGCTGAAAGCAATTTAGCGAGAAACCCCTCGAAGATGGGTCGATCCTGTTAGATCGATCTAGGGTTGGGAAGGGGGCCTATGGCTCTCGTAGCATCCAGCGGTATGCTTTACTGGATCGGTCCACTTTGACAGGTCCTCACATGTACAGTGCACCTACGCTACAGGAGGTTTTACCTCCTTTCACAATTTCTCTGCGAGTTTGCGTCCAATTGTTAAGTTAAGGTGATCAGATGACCTTGACGAGTGCAAGGAGCTCTGCTTAGATGACCCAATTATATAAAAACAAGTAGTTGTACAACTTATTGATAAGGCTATTTGGTTGTCAATATCTCAAAATGGGCCGGTCCAGGTAAGTATACCGCTTAATGTTACAATGGCTTAGTAGAAATGTATGAGTCTCTTTTTTCTCACTTTTCTCGATAAAAAGCATGATAATGAATGGAAAGTATTAAGGACATTTAAATAATTATTGCAATCGATCATGCCCTGCATAAAAAGTCTTTATCAAAGGTTAAAAGAAAACCATCAATAAATAGATATGACTGTTTTGGATTTTTTATATCCTGGCTTCTCCTGCACGTTATAAGAAAACTAGGGAATAATTGACTTATACGCTGAATGCACACGCAAACACGGGTCATATGAAATGCTCAACCAATGGCTGAACATACTCCATTTTTCTTAGGTTTCGATGGCTGTTACACCAAGCCGTCGTCCTACCAGGCAAAAGTTTTGCACCCAAGGCTCATGAACAGTTTACTGTGCATAGAATACTGCAGAGGTATGGTATTCAAGCAATCCCTCAAAACGACATTGATGTTGGCTTCTTTATCATTGAAAAAATCCGACATCATCATTTGTTACAGAAAAAATATAGAACTTATATATAGTTTTGGATAGGATGTGCCATGGTTATAAATGTACATGAAGTTGTTGAAATATCTATGAAAACAATTATTATTATTATTATTATTATTATTATTATTATTATTATTATGTACAAGGTTTCAATGCGCATCGTATGAATTTTAAGCGTATATGTAATTCTTTACTGAAGGGAATGACTTGCCTTACGCCGCAGTATCCAATGATGAATGCCTGTGTGTGGAAACCAAACCCACCGGAAGTCAGTCCTCCATCGCATGCTCTATGGGGTGTCCGTACAACCCTATGCAACACTGTGGCGGAACAAACGTGGCCAATGTGTACCTGATAGGTGAGGACGCATCCATTTAAATATATCGTCTTTAAATATTAGATGATATCCACAAAGGTTAGATGATATCCACAACTGTGCTAAACTCTGTCTGGCTTTTGGCTATTCAGCAACAAGATTACAATGTGGACTTTTCCAACAACGTTGAATTAAACCAAAAAGAACAGCCCCTTTGCATTGACACGTGTAATTGTAGATGCAATGTTACTTTGTCTTGTGTCTGCAAATTTTGAAGACGGATGAACGATTATATTGTCATATTTACGGTGACACATGTACATGTAACAACAGTTACATGTACATGTAATAATTTCCTTTGTGTGTGGCAGAAGTTTTAGCTGCATTGTATATATAAAACTATAACGTATTTCGCTCAGCAGAATAAGCCCACCTTTAGACTTGCGTTTCTGTCTATCCAGGTTACTATTATCACCGTGCACCGTCGTGTGTGGCTTTAGCGTCGCAGGGGGTCCTTTTGGAAGGGTATTATTGGATTAGCGAAACAGAAGGAGCCGCATCTAGAAAAGTGCAGTGCAACCCGACAGGTCAGATTCTGTTCTCTGTATCTCATGATAAACATTGGTAGAAAATATCACTATTTTTCGTGATCAATCTATATAATAATGTGTTGTTCCGTACGTGAGATTTTGGCTAAAAAAGGCATTGCAAAAGAGCAAATGTCAATATTTATTAACTTATTCATTAACTCTTTATTTGTGCATTTGTACATTAATTTATACACCCAGGCAATTTAATAGTCGTTGGAATCCCAGCGCCGTCTATTAGCATCAATATGTGCTCTTAATTCTCTTCCTTAAATGTGATGCGTTCTCATGCATCATGAATGAACACATATTTTATATCCATAGTAATGAAATATAGTGTCTATATAGATATCTGTATCATGTGTATGTATTCCACTTCAGCTCCGTGTCACACTCCTTTGATTCACACCTACGCGAGTACCGTCACCATCACACATTCCAACTCAACCGACAACAATTGTACAGCTGAGAACATATAGTAAGTTTTAAAAAAAAGCAAAATGCGAAAGTAACATTTACTATTATTATTATTATTATTTTTTTATTATTACATGGTGTATGTCAATAATGACACGTATCGTGATAACAGTACTAACGAAACCAGATGCCAGAGAATTAAAAACTTTCATCTTTGTCCTCATTCCAGCCTGTACGGCCCAAGTGGCTGCTATTTTGCAAATGAAGACACCGAGCCTTGGGTCCAAGTATCCTTTGACCAGCTGTATATTATAACTGGCGTGGCAACTCAAGGTACGTGTATACTATTCAGTTTTGTTAGATTAAGCTTGTTTTTTTTTTTTTTTTTTTTTTTCAAAAAGATCTAGGTTTCTGCATGATGAGCTCGGCACATGGTTCTTGGCTATTGTTTGTGTGATCTGTTCTCAGCTGGTTACGGCCAGTACTTCATCACAATTAAGCAGCAATTGTTTGTCATATTTTGGAACATCGCTTGAACATCTGGTTGCAATGGTATGAGGAATAGCTACTTGTAGTAACGTGGCAGAAAGACACAATACAAGTGAGGTGTGTGCAGCCAATTACGTGCAAGGAAGACACGGCTGATGGATGTTAGAGCTTTTACTTAAATATTTTAAACAGAAGCAAGGATAATTATTTATCGATTTTATTGTACAAGTCCTTGTGTTTTAAGTGGTAATAGGTCTCTATGATAGATATATAGCCGTCTATATCACCCTAGGATCGAATGACCCGGATAATCAACAGTGGGTTAGGAACTATGCTCTGGAATACAGTGAAAATGGCGTAAACTGGACACAGTATGAAAATGGAACACAGGTGAGATGTTGCATGAATGTAGGTGGTGGTTAACGAGTGGTGTAACGAAACGAAGGGTCCGTGTGACAGAAAGTTCGTCTCCATTTATTTATGATGGTCAGGATGATTCTTTTATAATGAAATATAAATTTCCAATTTTCAAATTATGTTGAAAAAAAAATGTAATATTTTCTTTCAGTTGACTGGTAATTCAAATTTCAACGCAGTCGTTCTAAACACACTGACATATCCGATCCTAGCGCAGTATGTGCGGGTGTATCCTTCTAGGGCGACATGTGAAAACAATTGCAGTCTCCGCCTTGAGGTGAACGGCTGCAAGTACAGCAGTTTTGACCGTAAGTATGTTTTTGTGCATAAAAAAACTGAATGTGTAGACTCAACTTACTTGTTGTCTGACCATATGCTTAAGTTGAATACTTTACATATACTGGTGTGTACATCAACGTAGACTGCGATATATATCGACACTGGTGCTGGATTCTTGGTAATATCAAAGTATAAAGTTGCTTTTCATGTCAATTCGAATAAACCAACACTGTTAATATTTCGTATCCATGGTGTTGCCAGTTTCTATACTAATAGTGCCTAGTGGTTGTAGAATTTGCAGGACTTTATCTTAAACGTATTGTATTGTATATAGGCTTTAATAGCGCCCAATCTATTTTTTCTCAAGAAAAAAGCAGTTTATCTCCCTGGTATTTCAGAATTTATTATCGACATCCGTTATTTTTGACTGAGTTTTTCAATCGTTTTCGTTAATAGTTTTGTGGAATATCTAGACATAACAAATATAACTGTGGATCATTTGTAAAGTTTACCAGGCCTTTACGGGCATTTACATTGTTTTCAGACTCCCTGCAGTATGTTGGGTGTGTCATAGAAACTACAGATCCCAGTGGACAAGTTATGGTTCACAGTGCTTCAACGAGCTGCCAGTTGCCGTCGGATTGTATAGATCTGTGCACGGCGGCGGGGTTCTTGTATGCTGGCCTACAGGGAGGTAAGATGTCATATGGATTGCGTTCTGTCTCATCTACCGCAATGCCATACCGTTAATTAATCTTGTTGGCTTGGTGTTGCCAGCGTGTTGTAAATTGATCCAGGCAGATCCAGGGTTTATCAAGAGGGGGGGGGGAGGTAGGGGTAAATTTTGACATAAAAATATATTTAAGTAGACGAGAACAATTGCACTGTAAAACATGATGTAATGTAGTACATGTATTGCTTGGTTTGTCTCGTTACGATTAAGATTTTCTCTTATTTGTACGGGGATATTTTGTAGCAGACTTCCTCTTATGGTGCTAGGATGGGCAGAGCACGCATATATAAATATCAAAATGGGGAGAGTGTGGAAGGATGAGTGGTGAGGTGGGGGTGGGCGATTTTCCACTTCCATCTACGTTCTTGCACTGTTAAAGCGCTACGTATAAAAGAGTGTTAATTACCAATAGGCTTGTATGTTGGAGGAAATCATCCAGGTATTGTAAAATCACTCAAATAAAGCAATTTCGTATAACCATATTAAAATAAGTAATCAACCAGACTTTGCAATGCTATTTCAGTACTGACCTTATCTATAATCGTCTTGGCAAAACTCACAACGTGTCAAATTTACCCCGGTGAAGTTGATTCCTGGTTCCTTATTCCTTATTCGGTTACTTATTCAAATGTGAAGTTGGTTACTTATTCCCGGTTCCTTATTCGGTTACTTATTCAACTTTTTTATGTTTTTTTTATGATTTTGATGCTAGAATACCTGTTTCATCATACTAGCACCCCCTCTTCATCTAGATGACACCCTAAAATTGTTAAATATACCAATAAAAACACAAAATATAACCCATTCCTTATTCAAAAGTCCTGTTACTTATTCGGTTACTTATTCCTTATTCGGTTACTTATTCCTTATTCGGTTACTTATTCAACTTTTTTATGTTTTTT